CTGTTGCACCCTCCTTGGGGGAACCAGGCACCCCCACCCCACCCCGGTGCCCCCTCTGGCCTTGCCATCTCATATCCCGCACTCTCTTTCCAAATGTGCAGTTTTTGTTGGTTGCATGCCTTCTCCGTCCTCCTGCCCTGCATCTTCCTTTCTTCTCGGCTTCCTGGGATCCCCAGAAGACACCCCCCACCTTTCCTTGTTGTTCTAGGTTATAGGATTTCCCTTGCTGGGGGTTCGAGCCCCTCCCTTGCCATGCCATTCAAAGTATCCGCTGCTTCCCCTCTCCCATTTTGCAGCTGTCCCTGCTTTCTCCCCCTTGCCTCTAACCCACGCTTTATTTATTTATTTATTTATTTATTTATACATGCATGCATGCATACACACACACACGCACGCACGCACGCACGCATACATACATACATACATACCCCGCTTTGTTCTTTTGCAGGCTTTGCCACCCTATTGATTTCTCCATGGTGGACATTTTTTCCTGAAATGGTTTTGCTTTTGCTTTTAAATGATGGAATGTGCTTAAAACCTTGTTTCTGAGATGGTTTTGGGGTGTAAAGGAGATGTTTCCACAGGGAAACAGGTGGATGTTTAGGTGCCCCTGCTGAAAAGTGTACCAAGATCTTCGGAAGATCTGATTAGCTCATCTGTCAGATTGGAGTAATTGTAGCAGCTTTGTGTCTGAACTGTGAACTGGAGAGATCAAGGGTCACGGCAGACCCAAACTGGGGGCAAGATGTGGTAATCTCACTCTTGTCCTTCGGCTTTAATATGAGGCTAATAATCCTGAACCTACCCGATGGGGCTGTTGTTAATGAGGCAACAGAAAGGTGCCACATTAACAACAGACAGTTCAAAAAGTTCCTTGGAAAACATATTGAATGATGCGTAAATGCTTGGTATTGTCGTTAAATTGAAAGATGTGTTGTGAACATTATTTCAGACAGAGCACTCAGGAGCCTACTAGGAGGTTGTGGAAACAACATTAATTGGTGTTTTTTTTTGGCACGAAGATGAATTATAGTGAGATCAGTGTAATAATGTTGTACTGGAACAGAATGATTCAGTGAGATGTGTTTATATGCTGAAGTCTCTAGAGTAGCATTAGGCAGCATACCATATGCTAGACACAAACAAACATTTGTTTCAGACCGAAGGGTGTTCGTTAGGAATGTTTAATATACGTGAGTGAAGACTTGTGGGATCCCATCCTTCATAAGCATGCTTTCGCTCTTAACTCCTGAAGCTCTAGCAGTATTGAATTTGTATCATCCTAGTTTCAGATATTAATAAAATGAGGCTTAATGTGAATGGGATTTAGATTGCAATTCAGCGTTCAGAACTACGATAGGTCCATTGAAGTCAGTATGATTGCTATAAACTGAGGTAGCAGTTGCAAAAGGTTATATCTGCACTGCTATTTAAACCAGATTGAAAACGGACTGATGGCCTCAGTTTCCTCCAGATAGTTTCAGGCATTACGGTATCTTGAGGATGATAAAACACCTTTGTTAGAAATGCTTAGTTCCTTTATGTACCTTTATTTCCAAAGGCCCTTAGATGGGAACCTTCATTTAAGTGGATATAAAACTGAAATGCGCAGTAGTTCAGATGTGTTTTATGACAATATTCCAATAACATAAAGGATTCTGTCTGAAATGGCTCCTTGTTGAAACTAGTGCTCCATAAGTGGTCTAAACTAACCCAAATCAGTGCTAAATGAAACAAAAAGGGGAAAAACCACTATACACATGGAATGTGTATCAAGTAAAACTGGCTTCCATGGCCATGTGCCCAGGAATCTCCTAATTATCTTATTTTTTGTTACTAGAGGCAAAGGTTTGCAATGCAAGGCTACAAACACCACATTTGTTTGCTGTGGTTAAGAGTGAAGAAACAACGGCTGAAATCCAGTAGTCAGTCACAACTAGAGTAGCTGGCTTGCCAGATCCCTACTGATTCAGTGGGCCTACTCTGAGATGCAGCGACTGATTCACTGTTTGTTAGAAATCCTAATTTCTTTCCCATCTCCAAATGTTGCTGAGTAGGAGAAGTTCTTTGATCACTACATTAAGTAGGAGAAGTTCTTTGATCACTACGTTGTGGTGCTTTGCATAAAGTTGCAAAAATGAAGGAAAACTGTATCCTCTCTACTTGAATTACAAGGGCAGTAACATTTTAATGACAAAAACACAACTTCAGGACATTTTTCAGCCTCGTACTGCTTCTGCCTATATTTCTGTTCTGAAACACCTAAACTTACACATCTCAGATTCACGTTCCAGTTGTGGTTATTGAGTTGTTGAGCTTTTTAAAATGTTGTCAGAATGTTTTCACTTCTCATGCCACCCACAGGTGAGAATTGAGACTGAGGCAACAGGATATAATGGCTTTTAGATGGCATGACAACTTTTCATCTTAGGCATTGTTATTTAGTATGAGTCACAATTCACCAAATGATAATTTTGCCTACCAAATGACTTTTTTTTTCTTGTGTCATATTTTATTTACACTTACCAAATGAAAACCTGTGGAAACTATGTGGTTGCTGTAGTGAGGCTGCTAGTGTAATTGCTAAATCAAAGGATCCATTGCTGGAAAAGAATACTGATCACAAATTGTGAAAAATGCTGTCATCATTGTGATCCCTGAGTGATATTTTATATATAGCGCACCACCCATGCCTGTGTTGCTACTATAATAGTATTTTCTTTCTTTCTTTTTCCCTTCTGTCAGACTCTGTCAGTTTCGCATCTCTTCACAATGAGACTGGTCTGGGTTCACCTCTTCGCTTCACCTTGTAGTTGATAGTTCTAGATGAGGAGGAAATGCTGGAATAGAGATGGCAGATAGTGTCAAGATCTTCCTTAATGATCTCATCAGGGTAAGTGTTTCCTTTATTTGGTTGTTAATAACTACCAATAGTAAGGTAAAGATTAAGGTTCCCCTTGACATTTAGTTCAGTTGTGTTCAACTCTAGGGCACGGTGGTCATCCCTGTTCCCAAGCCATAGAACCAGCGTTTGTCTATAAACAGTTTCCGTGGTCATGTGACCAGTGCAGCTAGACATGGAACACCGTTACCTGCCCACCGAGGTGGTACCTATTTATCTACTTGCATTTTTACATGCTTTTGAACTGCTAGGTTGGCAGGAGCTGGGACAAGCGACGGGAGCTCACTCCATCACGTGGATTTGATCTTGTGACTGCTGGTCTTCTGACCTTGCAGCACAGAGGCTTCTGCAGTTTAACCCGCAGCGCCACCACATCTAGCAATAGTACCCTTCTTCATATCATTTAGAATACCATTTTAATTTGATACACCGAAATCCTTAAACCAGCTTTAACAGCCTTCAAAAATGGATACATTAATTCTGTCCCACATCAGTGAAAGCTGGAACCGGTACATATGCTACAGTAGTGCATGTCTACAGTTCCTGAGTGAAGGGTTTACTTGCTCCATACCCATGGGGGGTGGTTTCCTACAGCAGTGTAGAGGGAAAGAAATATAACTGTACCTTTCCGTCACTCAACTTGTAACTGTACTGGCTACAAAACTATGGCTTGATTTAAGATGTCTGCCACCTACAGGCTGAAGGTGGTACTACAAGCTTCAAACATGCAGATCCCACAAATTTAATTAACATTGGCTAAGGTGTTTTTAAGACCAAATAACCACCAAAACTACACCTCAACAGCTTTGTTAATATGACTGCCCAATTTTGTGTCACCAGGCTTTATGATCTCAGAACCATGGCTGACTCTAACACTTACAAACACATACACCTCCCATTTCTTTACTGTTTATGATGATAGATTTCAAAGTGTATCTGTATATTAAAATTGGCGTATTTTAGCTGTTATCAGTTGCATACTGAAATGTATGAATGCTGGCTCTCAGAAATGGTCAAGCAAGGATTCCTTATGGCAGCACTGGTAAAGTGGGGGATGAAACTCTCCATGGCTGTTCCCATCTGGCATCTCTTTCTGTATTTTGACTGACACAGTCAAGATAGTAGAGTATATTCCTTTCAGTTCAGCTGCCTAGTGGATTTAGGTATTGTTCAGATAAGATGAAATCATTATTGTGCTACAGAAATGAGTCATACAGAGACTGTTTGTTCCTCCCTCCCATTCTTGCTCCCTGCCATAGATCTTGACTTCTGCTTTGTTTTGACCATGTATCTGCTTCTTGTCCTCTTGACCTCCTGTTGCTGCCTTAGGACCCAGCCTTTTGGAACCTGTACCTTGTTCTTGAACTGATAGCTAGCTTTCTCTGGGGGCTGAACTGCTCTAAATTTCAGCATAAAGGGAGAGAGAGAGTTGGGGAGGAAGCAGACAGTTCTAATGCTTTCTATCTCTACCCTTGGATTTATAGCTGCCACAGGGGACTTGCTGAATGGCTTCTCGTAAACCTTCTCTCATGATACTTCTCCCTTGAATTGCATGGCTTTGGGTGGCACTGTTTCGGTTATGCTCAGATTTTTTTTCAATGAAGAAGTACATATTTAATCAGTACTGTGTCCCTGGCCATCCAGAACCAGGAGTGTGAAAACATCGCTGAACGGGGCAGAAAAGCCCATTGGAACGCATTAAACTTCGTTTAATGCGTTCCAATCGGCTGATTTACTCACCATTCAGTGATATTTTGCAATGGCCGGCAGCCATTTTCGCGCCCTCCCCTCGCTTAACGAGGGCGTGAAAATGCTGCACGCGGCCATTTGGGGGCTTCCGGCCGCCATTTTGTAGCTGCCGAACAGCTGATCGGCGGGTTGCAAAGCGAAGGTCGGTAAGCGAACCGCTTACCAACCTTCGCTCTGCGATTTTCGCCCTATGCAGGCATCGGTGTGTGATCGCATTTGCGATCGCAAAACCGGCCTCGTAGAGCAAATTCATGGCTCTACGGTGCACTCGTTGTGCGAGGCACCACTGTATCTAATCAATACTGTGTCCCTGGCCATCCAGAACCAGGGGCATGGGTTCAACCCTGAAAGTGTCAAAGTGGTCTACTTGCACCCAGACACAACAGTACTGTATGGATAGGATTGCCCGTGCTATGGAAGAGAACTCTGACAGAGAAACTGTGTGTGAGTGAGTGTGTGCGTGAGAGAGATTTTAAGTTTAGGTTCTCTTCTCTTCCTTGATGGGAATTTGCTTATAAAATGGATGGGATGTGTGTATCTTTCCTGAGTTGGGACTGCAGGTCTTCTCCTTTTTCTTCCCAAAATCACCTGGCAGCTGCTAAACTGCACCTATCACAACTTGGTTGACAGTTCTGTTAAACGTCTATTGTTGAATGTCTATAAGGCCTCCACATGTTGACCTTTGGCTTGGTCCCCCTTTTGTATTCACAGGGAATTAAAGATTCCATATGGGGGATCTGCACCATCTCAAAGCTGGATGCACGGATCCAGCAGAAAAGGGAAGAGCAGCAAAAAAGAAGAGCAAGCAGTGTGCTTGCTAAGCGAAGAGCACAGAGCGAGGAGAGGAAGCAGGAGAGGTGAGTGAGGGGGGGAATCTTTACATGAGGGGGCTTGGGAATAACCAAAACGTAGCAATACTAGAGGGATACAGTATATTTAAGTTGAAACTGTTTGTTGCTAGTGTATTCCCCCCTCCCAATTATAGTGGGCCTAAACAAATAACATTCTAAGTTACTTAGTTGAGTCTCCCATGGGCCTCCCCATTTACAGTGGTCCTTATCCCAGGGGGATTGACATTCGGGAGCTACCTGATAATTCACTGGGGCCATACATGGGAAGAGATTGGACATGTTGTTATTCACTTGGCTTTTACCCTAGGCGAGTCAAAATAGGATGACTGTTTCTATTTGAATATATTCAAGGTTGCTCCCTTTGAGAATCATTTACACTTATTTCTTTCTAGTGAACCCCGGATAGTAAGTCGTATATTTCAGTGTTGTGCATGGAATGGAGGTGTGTTCTGGGTAAGTGTTGTTTTTGTTTTAAATACACACACACAACATCCTTTGAAACCATAATCTAATAATCTTAGAACTGGAGAAGACGCTGTGGCTTGAATCCTTGAATCTAGCTCCTGTTGAGAAGGCACATTGGGGAATTGAACTCTCAACCTTTGGTTCCTCATCCAGAAACCTAAAACTCTGACACTGGTCCATTACATTGCTTCATTGCTTATACATTGGCTTGCTGGCACTACTTAATTGAATAGTGTTGCAAACTGAGAAACGGAGCAGCAAGTGACTTGACTTAACTGCAGCTGCCACTTCCAATTAGAGTAGACCTACAGGAGATTGTATAGAAACCAGTGCCTCCTGTGTGTATGATCTCTAATGGTTAGGAGTCTGGTTTGATAGCCTGTTATGATAAAGGTCAACTTGTTTTTCAATGTAGGTTAGATCTTCATGTATCCACAGCATTCTAATGCCTGTTTCTGCTGTGTAATTCCTAGTCACAATGTTCCAGTGTATATATGGATCCACTTGAAAGAAGGCAGAGCAGTTCTGCCTTAACTTTCAGTCCTGGCATGACTGTGTGTCCCATTCCAGGGAAGAAACTGGAATAAAAATCTAAATAAACAAATGACTTGGACATAAACTGCTGGAAATTAACTTGTACGAGTACATATGCAGAATGGGATCATATGTTCCTAAGGGAACTTGAGCATGGTCAAGAAAATTTCAAGTATACATTGGAATTTCATGATTTTAAGTAAACTAGGAAAAAGAGTGTGATTGTGAACTCTTAAATCTGAGTAAATCTTTTCTGGCTTCTTCTTTTTAGCTTAGTCTCCTCTTGTTCTACCGTGTTTTCATACCTGTACTTCAGTCAGCAACAGCACATATAATTGGTAAGTTGTAAATGCTCAGACATGTAACTTTCTTTGTCAAGCACATAATTTCTTGGTTAGCCAGTCATTAACGATTCATGCAAATTTGGACATGTGCCTAGTTTTGCATGCTCAAGCAATATTTGGGCTTATGTTTCTTGAATGACAGGCACTTCTGATGGATGGCAAACCTCTCCAGAAGCAAAGAGTCATTTCAAAATCTATTTTAAATACGGGATAGTGGTCTGCTGTTCACAAATTTGATTAGGCATACCGAAAGCCTTCAGATGTGTTTTTGGATCCAGATTCGTGTTTTCTTGTTGCTTTGCTCCTAGAAGCTGGGATCAATTTTTTCATGCTGAAGTGTCATTGTCTGCTGGCCAGAACGTAAATGGCATGCCCACACTCTTTCTCTCTTGGGACTTTTTCTCTGTGAATTTTACAGCCAATGTCTATTTTTCTTTGATAAGTAATACAATAGAATCTGTGTCTCTATGGTATGGAAAACAAGTCTCAGATCTTTGTGAACCAAGTCGATGAACTTAAGGGCCTGAGAAAAAGCTGTTTCCCTGCTGAGGATTTCATAGTCAGAAGATGATTTCATCCAATGAAACTTCTTAACATTGTTTTTTGTTTTGGTTTGGTTCTTTTATATATGAATGTCCAGTAGTGTTAACTAGAGGTCACTTAGTATCATTGAATGGAGCAAAAACACAAACAGCGTTTCTTTGAAAAATGACTTGGTATATATTGTAACAAACAAACTCCATCAGGCAACAGTTAGCATACAAATAACAATACAGTATGTTAAAATGGATCCAAACAGAATAGACGCAAAAGAAGACATCAAAAACGTTCAGTCCTATGGAATGATGGAAGTTGTATAATGCCGCCTCTGCAGGGCACAGTTTGAAATGGAGGATGCAGCTCCTTTTGCAGCTGTTGGTTTGCTAATTGTTATTAATAAAAACAATAATTAGACCATTTTTCAAAACAGTTTTGTCATTCATAAATCATGAAAATTTTACTTTCCATTTAGCGCATCATCACTCCCATGCCCCATCCTCTGCAATAGTTTGTTTTGCCTACACAAATGCCAGGGGGCTTGGACAAGAATAGGATTTTAGTTCTCTTATTTTTAGTTTAGATTCTGTGTAATATCTATCATTCTGAGTCACACAGAAATAAATATGCTGGCATATTTTCATGAGGTTAGCTAGCTAGTGTGGGCAAACTTAATATTTACTAGGATGGTTTTTTTTTAATGCTGGCTGTGGCCTAATTTCTTAATGAAGAATTCTATATATCCCTGACTCTGCAGTTGAGTTCTCTTTCTGTTGTCCGGAAACGAGATCTATAGAAAGAAATGAAATTTTCTCTCTTCTATCACAGTAGTTAGGCGAGCTGCGTTATATCATAACACATCTTGTTTGGATGATTGCTAATAGAAGAACTGTATTTGTTTGGAAGGTGACCCTTCGTTACATGGTGATGTCTGGGCTTGGCTGGAATTTATCCTCACCTCCATCTTCAGTGCTCTTTGGGTCCTTCCCCTCTTTGTGCTCAGCAAAGTGGTCAATGCTATCTGGTTTCAGGTAGGCAACCTTGCCAAGAAGGTGGTGCTTAAAGTGGTCCTTTATCAACCCATCACGTTCATGGGAGATTTATGGTTGATTGAATTCTTTCCGTAGAGGTAGACAATGTTGTGCTATCAATTGTCCCATACAAGTTTTTTTCAAAAGTAAACATTGCTGCCTCTAATGTTTTTTAATCTCCAGTCCATTTGTTGAGGATTGCAGCCTATGGGTATACGATCCACACTGGCTCACTTGTATGCTTTCTCACCCTTACCTTTTATATATATGAGATGAGAGAGAACAAAGCATGCAAGTGAGTAAGTATACCCAGATATACGTGTATTTCTGTCCTCTCAAAGTATTATCCCCTGTCCCACTTTACATTGAGAGTAATTCACTGAATGTGTAGAGAGCCCTGCAAATTGAATGTATATAATGGGGAGGAAAGTACACATGTATGATGAGAGAATGACTTCTCAGAATGAATGGAACTTGAGCATTTCTGTTAAGAGAACTCTCTGTATGTAGTGTAAGCTCTTATCATTCTCTGTTCTTAATTGTGTATTGAAAACAGCCTCTAATCTTATGTTTTACAATAAAAGGAAACAGCGTATACAAAATAAAACAAGTTATGCTGAGTTGCAGCATGGCTTGAAGCATTAAAGACTCTTACATTTAGGAAAGAACAAGAATAACCCCTCTTTAATTGCTTGATGAGATCATCTCTGTGTACTCATTTTTAAAATGTTTTTATATAGGTGGCTTATCTTTGTGTGTATTTTCTCAGAAGTGCACTGTGGTGCAAATGGGCACATGTAATAAAAGCATTAAGTCTTGTCTTAGGGAATCTCTTTGGTTAAAATGTTTACTTGTTTTTTCAGGACATTGCTGACCTGGCGTTTGAGGTGTCAGGAAGGAAACCCCAGCCTTTCCCCAGTGTCAGTAAAATTATTGCTGACATGTTGTTTAACCTTTTACTGCAAGCTCTTTTCCTCATCCAGGTAAGAGGAAGCAAAGTCTGGCTATCAGAAGGCGCGGGCCTTTAAATAGAATAACCAAAGGCCGCAGGACCTTGAAATCATCTAGGGTTTATGACTTGGTGCAGGCAGAACTGTGCAGAAAACAGAGTCTTTAGAGCAGTGGTTTCCAACCTTTTTCAGATGGTTTAGCATGTGGGCGGAGGAAGGCATCCATGTGGGTGGGAGGAGGCACTCATGCGTGCATGGGGGGGTGGGGCATCTGTGCATGCATGGGGGAGTGCATGTGTGCGTGAGCAGGTTGTGCGTGTGTGCGTGAGCAGGTTGTGTGTGCATCTGTGCATGTATGGGATGGCATGCGTGCGTGGGGGCGGGAGATCTGTCTCTGCGGCCCAGTCCTGCCAAGGCGCATCTGTGCATGCATGGGGGAGTGCATGTATCCATGTGTGCGTGAGCAGGTTGTGTGTGCATCCGTGCATGTATGGGGTGGCATGCGTGTGTGGTGGGAATGAGCAGGGCATTGAAACAGTATATGAACCAGGGTGTCAGGCGTCTCTAAGCCACGGACCAGGGATTGGGGACTTCGCCTTTAGGGAATTCAAACCTCAGGGCACCTGAAGCAGAGAACTTGCAGAGAAGTTCCCTCGGGAATGTCAAGTTTCAAATTACCTGAGGGAATGAACTTAAGTCCCTGTTTCTCCTTCAGGTCACTTGGTCATTTGACCTAGGTGACAGTCCTTTTTCCAGCCAAAGTTTGTATGAATAGTTAGATCATTTGAATGAAACAAATACTGTTTTTTTGCAAGGCTCTATGAGGGACCAGTCCTACAGAAGGTGTGGCCAAAGGCCAGTTTCATTTGCTGAGGTGCATCTGATGGTGTCTTTCGAATCTTTGGAAAGAATGATAGCCATGAACCTTGCAAGAACTGTGATTAAACTTCAGGAGTATTTCAATAATAAAGGTGGTTGAGTGGAGCAATAAGAGAATGAAAGGAAGTGAATAGATGAGAAAGCAGAGAGTGGTTTTCTGCTTTTAGCTGTAGTTTTCAGAGCTGTTGATGAAGGCTAATCCGGGTGTGCTTGTCACCTGAAGAGATTTCTTTTGCAACAGGGACGAAATGTAATAATGAAATTAATTAATTCCTTCTTGTTCTCCACAGGGTATGATAGTAAGCCTGTTTCCTATTGATGTCATTGGTCAGTTAGTCAGCCTTCTGCATATGTCGCTTCTTTACTCGCTTTATTGTTTTGAATACCGTTGGTTTAACAAAGGTATGTCCTTCTCTCGGTTTCCAAAACTTCTGAGTGAGAGTCGCAGAATGTGTTCAGTGCTTGGGTTTTCCTTAAAATAACTTTTTAAGAAGTAGTGTTGTCTGAAGTGAAACTTGATTCTTTTTCTTTAAAAAATTGCCATATTGTTACATGTATTGCCATGCGGGATCTGAGATTTGTAATTTTTAATGTGTAAACCGCCCAGAATAATGAGTGGACTAATAGAGAAATCGCATCAGATCACTCAATCAGTTCTTCGGTGAGATTGCCATTTGTGAAGAATTAATTCTGCTTTAGCGGTCATAGGTGAATATGTAGAAATGTTGCACACGCCAGCCACCAACACCTTCCAGAGGACTGACACTGCTTTAGGAATGTGCGTGATCCTGTGTGGTAAATGGTTTCAGGTCCAGTCATCACAACAAGAGAATTGGACCATATCTGATTTGATCTTCCTTTGTGTGTTGTGTCAATTGTGAGAATTCCAAGTTAGTTCTGAGTTCAGCTTGGAAGTGTGGGGGGTGATTTGGAACACCTTGTATACTCATGGGAAAGGCCAGTGTGCAATAAACTGAATTTGGTTCGGGCTGTGAAACCGAATGGCCACCATTACAACTTCTTCTGAGGCTGGGAAATCTTGCCCCGGTGGAGTTTCTCCCTTACATCCAAAAATTGAATTTATTTATATTAGTCATAATGTTTTTATTGCTTTGTGCTATCTTGCAAACCGCCCAGAGTTGCAGTATATAAATTAAGTAATGTTATAAAAACATTTAAAAGTAAATCTGCCTTAAAATGTCTATTCCATGGTGTTTGAGAGAGAGTGAGTTCATGTCAAGAAAGGGAAACCCACTTGTTTAGTGATAAATTTCATGAGTTGTTTTGCAGTAATTTTAAGAATTCTGCCTTTCTATTAGTATTTCTGAACGGCTAATGAAATAACTATTAAAGGAAACAGTTGCAACAATTCACTTCACGCATAACGGCAAATGGGAAATCATTTTCTGTTGTTATTGGAAAGGTTCTCAATAACCTTTCCAAGGCAGCCGCTGCCTTGAAATGGGGTGGCAGGATTTTAGCCTACTGGGCTGAGGGTTGGTAGTTCTGATGGAGAGGTGAAAGAGAAGTTGAGTCAGTGGAAGGCATAAAGTGGCAGGAATATAAAGCCAAGCATGGCTATGCTTCTAACATGCTGTGTTTGGCTTTTGTCTCATCAGGAATTGAAATGCATCAACGGTTATCCAACATTGAAAGGAACTGGCCATATTACTTTGGATTTGGTTTACCACTCGCCTTCCTCACTGCAATGCAGTCGTCTTACATTATCAGGTGAATTATTTTGAGGCCGAAGGAATTACGCCCCCTTTTTATTAGGGTGGGCAAATGTCAATGTTCCTAATAATGAGAATGTGTTCGTAATCATAATGGAGAGGAAGGGGAGCTATGAGAAAAGGAACTGTGCAAATGGTGAAAAGTAGGAAAGAAGGAGAAAAAGAAGTTGGGGACACAAGTAGAAGGCTGTAGATGAGATTCTTGTCAGCCGAAGGGTGGGCCTGGGCTCTTGTTCCCCTCAGTGGTTTTTGTTGAGGTGCCTTACAGAGGACTCGCAGGGTCCTTCAGAGAGCTCTGAGATGACCTTGTAGATGGCTGCCCACTTTCTGGCCCTGCTGCCACAACCACCAACAAGAAAGTGTAGGCCGGAGAGTGAGGATGCTGTGATGCCAGCCATCAAGCAGCATGTGGCACTCTGCCTCCCTGTGGGTGAGTGACAGGGAAGGGACACGGAGGGCCATTCATATGTGCAAGAAATGGGAAGGATAGAAGTGGCACTCTGGGTCTGGAGGGCCCCTGGACTTCAATCAGGTGCTTTCCACGTCTTGGATCCAGGCCTTGGTGGGGACAGGAGGTGGTGGTTCCGGGTAAGGAGAGAGCCGGACAGGAGAGGAAGTAGGTGAACTCGGCCATCTGGCCATGGAGTAACCAGTGGCCGGTGGCTGCCTTGCCCTTTAGCTGCTCCCCACACTCTAGGCAAGCTGGGGTGCCATTGGACACAGCAATCCAAGTTACACTAAGAGGTGGGATGAGCAGAGAGTAAAGGGTTGCCTAGGGATCCATGGCCCCAATCATCACTGCATCACGATCTTGTAATTCTGCAAGGGGGCATGGTTGATTGCCGAAGGAAGAGGAGGAGGAGGGAAAATGTAGTGCAGATACTTTTCTTTAATTACTTCAGACTGGATAATGAACTATGTTGTTGAGAAGCTCAAATAAAAAACCTGCATCAAGAAAACCAAGTACTTGTGGAGGTAAATGTGGGCGGCCTAGAAGGCTGCACAGGGGAACTTCTGATGGTGATGATCATCATCATCTTAAAACTCCAGAGTTGGAAGGGACCCTATGGATCACTGAGTCAGCCCCCTGTCAAGGAGGCGCAGGGGGGAATTGGAACTCCCAAACTGTCTCTGCAGCTGGATACCTAAACTACTAAGCTATACAGCAGTGCATCTGTAAAGCAACAAGAAAATAGATAATCTCTTTTCTGTCTCCATATTCAGCACAGCTGTGTGTACATTTTTATTTTGGATTCACTGGGGATGCTGACACTTCCTTATATATACAATATCTTAGCATCTTTAGCAGTGTTGCTTTCATCCCCCTCCCGTGGTAAACAGCAACATGACCACGGGTTTGATGTGACTGTAGCTTGGAGTTCATGGCTGAAAACATTTGCTCAGGTTGATGATTGTTCCTGTATTAGCTTTAGGAAAGGAGTGTATAATTTAAATCAGTGTTTCCCAGCATTGCGTAACCCAGGTGTTCTTGGACGGCAGCTCTCGGAAACCGCAGCCAGCACAGCTAGTGGGGAAAGCTTCTGGGAGTTACAGTCCAAGAACATGTTAGTTACCCAAGTTTGGGAATCACTGCTTTAAATTGATTTATTTTAGGAGGGATTTTTATTAATTATGTAAAAGGGAAAACAAGAAAAAGTGTTAAATTCACTTGTATGAGAAGCGTTTCATGAATCTGCATTAGTAATGAGTTTGTCTTTTTTGCCCAGATTCAGAATATGGGAATATGCTTATGTGTCTGCTTACTCCTTTAGTTAGATCCCACCGCAGAAGTTCTGTAAATGTTATTGTTGCTTCTTGCATGAACGGACACAGCGCTACTGGAAATAATTTCATAGTAAAGATTTCTTGATTGACTGTAGCTTTGTTTCCTTTCAGTGGCTGCCTCTTCTCCATTCTTTTTCCTCTATTTATCATCAGCGCCAATGAAGCGAAGACACCAGGAAAAGCATAGTATGTATTTCCTCCCATCTTTCTCATGGTGTTCAGCAAAAATGATCCAATGGGAGACATTTACCTATTGGCACTCGGCAAATCTGTACCGAGTTACCGAGTTGGTAAATCATCCTGTTTTTGCTATTCTTTCCTGCCTACTATTGAATTAAGATGATTTGGATAAATATGGGAGCCTGGACAACAGGTCTAATACTCTCTGAGGCCAGTGTTCTGTTCGGCTTTCCGCAGGTAGAACTGCAAATGCAGAAGCCAGTGTGGCAGTATAGGGAGGTCTAATGCAGTCATTCTCAACCTTTGTTTGGCCGTGGCCATAAACACGATATGAAAGAAGTATAGGCCAAATCAGGACTTTGTAAGTCACATAACGAACCTGATAAAGTGCTTCTTTGAAGAACTGTTTCCAGCCAGTGGCCTCTTTCAAATGTGCCAGGGCCCCCCAGGCCCATTGAGAATGGCTGTCTAATCACTGGCTTGGTCTCATCACTGCTAGAATAGACGGGGGACCACACGAGTAGACCTGTCTTATGTTGCTGCAGCTGCTTCTGCATTTGCAGTTACATTCATGGAAAATTGAACAGGATAAGGGCCTGAGTATATCTGGTGGTTTTGAGTATGATGAGGCTGCTTGTTATATGACCCAGGAAAAACAGCCTAGATAGGACAATGCCAGGGAGATGTTTTGCTTGTTTAGAGTAACTGGAAACAGAGTTATAACGGAAACAGATATGCTACTTAGGTTGGAGATAGAGGGAGAAGGTCATCTAGGTAGCAAAAAAAGGCATTATAGTACAGAAAAAGATTTATCCTCTGGTAACGCAAGTGGTATCAAAATGCTGCCTGTGCTGTGGATAGTTCAGCTATATATAAAACCTTTGGACCTTTAAAAATAACCCTGTTAAGTAGGTCAGGCTGAGACAGAAGGACTGGCCCCCAGTTACCCAATGCATTTCATAGCTTGGTCAATACTAGAACTTGGATCTCCCAAGTCCCGGCCGAGCTGTTTTAAGCGGTACGCCATCTGGGTCATGGAACCTCACGGACAATCTGAGATGGAATTTGAGCAGGAGCTCCCCTTAGAGAAAAACTAAAAACTCTGCATTTCTACACCGATGGCCGAAACAGCAGCTGGGGATTGGATAAAATGTACTGGAATGACAGCTAAGCTCTTGACCTTTGTGTTCCAGCCACTTCCAGTTGCGCCTCTTTTCCTTGGTGGTCTTCCTCAGCAACAAACTCTTTCACAAGACAGTTTACCTTCAGTCTACCCTCAGCAGCTCTTCTTCAGCCGACCGACTGCCCTCACCCCATTCATCACCTGCTCGACAAAAGGCTGCTTTGGCGCACTGAACCATAACCAAAGTGGGGGGAGAAGGAAGGGTTGGGCATCGTTTCCTGGCTGCTGGGGGGCATGTCCATATGATCAAAGGAAGGGGGCAGTAAGCTGCCTGCCCAAGGGGTTGTGTCGTCTTTTCTCTCGTCACTGTTGAGAGCTCCAGTTGGACATTGGTTTCGAATCGCACAGGAATGTGTGGTTAAAAATATATATATTTGTGTGTGGGGGTGGGAGAGGGAGCAGAAGAACCTGGGTTTTTTAACACCTTTGTTGAGTTTTTCAAAAGCTAGGTTCTTGGCTTGTTTTTCTAGTGTGAAATGGACCTGTGCCTGTAATGTTTTTGTATACTATAACCCCACGACCTCCCTGTGCCATTTTTTTCCTCCTCTTCCCAGGATGGTTTTTTTGTAATGCATATTTTTCTCATAGCTTTGTGATGCTGAATGGGGTCTTTTACGGTGAACTGCAGCACAAGTGTCGGGTTGCGTCAGAAATCATAGTTCTTTGTATATTTTAACTCAGGTCAGGATTTTGTAATTCCTGTTGTGTCGAAACAAAAAGTGGATCATGTAGTTTTTAGGTGTAAGGTCAAGAGACAGAGTTGAAGAACTCGGACATCAGTATTGTTCTTGCTATAACTAACGTAAATTTGATAGTGGTACCCCTTGAAGGACCGGGGCGGATGTCATTTTTAACTGTTGTTATGCTGGCAGGGATCCGCTTTTGATGGATGAAACAAATTCCTAACCGTAACAGCAGAATGTATGGAATTTTTTACAAAAAAATCACAAAACAAAACAAAAACTCTGCATCCTTAGGAGCTGTTTCAAAAGCTCCTTCTGAACTCTGAAAGGGAAATGCAAAAAGCGTACGGGTAAGAGTCAGGCACTGAAATGGAAACCTGTTGAATCTGTGTCTCGGCTTGTAAAATTTGCAGTGTAATGTCTTGGAATAAGTAGGTGCTTTGAAAAATTCATGTCTTTCTATATCCGAGTGGTGACTAAAGGAGGAGGCCCAGTAGATAACCATGGAAAACCAAACAAAAAGTCATTTGGGTTTCTACAGGATGTCTGCATGAACTTCAAAGAGACAGTTAACTTCTTGAGTCTCTGTATGTTAGGTATGTCTTCATAAGCAAAAGGACCAGCTCACATCATGCTTGACGGATAGCTCAGATACACAGCCTGACCTGAGATTGTTATCCCAGTGAAGTTGGAATGACGTACACCGAAGTGCTCCTGTATGGTTGTAATTGCAGCTGAATAATTAGTCAGCTCAGGATACCTGATCTTTGTATGTGTCTGTCTCTCTCTGTGTACCTATGTAACGGCGTATGCACAAAGGGAGCGCAGCTGATCCTGATTTTAGAAAATGTTTCTCATGCATGTCAAACTTGTAGGGCTGAAAACTATGACATTAAAAAAATCCTTTGGGTTTTTTCTGAACAGAAATCAGCCAATAGACAAAACTTTTTTTCTCTAGTATTTTCACACTGAAATATTAAATGAAAGTGGAAAAGCAAGCTCAGCGTGTTGAAGTGATTTCTGACTAAACTGTAAATCTGACCTCACGGGGTGGGAAAGGAGAAAAAAAAATTGGGAGTCAAATAGGTTAATATCACAGTTCATCTCATTTGGGATCCAACGTTTTCCTGTGCTTATGAGATTGTAGCTAAAACAGTGTTACCTCTAAACAGGAATGAGGTATCCGTATATTGGGAGTAATCCAGAAACAAATGGCTGAACATTCGGGGAAGAACTAACCCCCTCAGATATAGGATCATGAGTGGGTGGCGGCAGAGGAAGAGCGCCTGAAAAAGGAGGAAGGAACTTAAAAGTAGAACTTATGGGTACAGCTTATGCTTTCCTTATCAGATAAACACAACTTTAAAATATAAGGAAAGAAGAGAGAATGGCCCCTAGCTATTGAGACTGATTGACGATTTAGATGCAGATAGGACCAGACAGAAGTGGGCCAAGGAGGAAGAACGCCCAAAGGAGGGTCCGGGGAGTCAGTGAGGACGTTCAGAGGGCACTGACTTGTTGGTGGAGAAAGCAAACCTAGAGGATGGGGGACAAGTAGATGTAGGGGGCATGCCTAGATTCTTGAAACAGCAACACCCCGCATGGCAATATTTTGTTAATTAGCAAGGCAAAAGATATGATCTGAAGAGAAACCAGAGTACTGTAACCAATTGTTAATTGATCAAAATCGGATTACTACAGAACTGGTAGTGAAATTTTGGGCGGCGTGCCATAGTAGCCAGAATAGATAGCCAAACTTAGACATTGGTCTTACATTGTTATATTTGTAGCTTTATTGCTTTTTGCTTATTTGATTTGGCTTTTTGCAGTACATGTTAGTACTTGAAGCTCTGCATTTAATTTTGATTTATGTATATGGCTTGATGCCGTAACAATAAAAGTATGTTAATTAGCACCCTAGACATACAAGTGGGAGGAGGCTTCGGCAGAGGCTAAGGTGGTTCTGTGCTGTCAAGTCGGAAGTGATGAACAGGACCCTAGTAGGGTTTTCAAGTCTGTTACTCTATCCACAACACCACATTGAATACCTCCAGGTTTGCATCAGTGAACAAAAGCGCACCTTTAGGTAGCAAGACAAGCCTTATAATTGCAGGTGATGCAAGTCAGTGATGGAATGGTGATTCTCGAAGTGGGAAGGAACAGAAATTTCGGAAGAAAGCAGTGTTGCCCAGCGATGAGAAACCCCAGTTCACATGGTGAGATTTTGAAAACATGCACATTTCTTTGGCAATGTGCTGCATATTCAGAACTTCCATCTTGGTATTCCAAGATGGCGTTCCAGGTCGTCGGTCCTCAACACTGGTTCACCTTTCCCTTCTTCTGGGGTCATCCTTGGGGCTGGGCAGCTTGCCCAAGGCGACCGCGGTGGTCTCTAGTCATGGAGGAATGCGATTCCCAATCGGTGTAGGACTTTCTAAGACCCCCCCAAAAAACCTTGGGCCTCCAGATGTTTTGGATCTACAACTCCCAGAAACCTTCACCACCACCTCTGCTGGCCAGGATTTCTGGGAGTTGAAGTCCAAGAACATCTGGAGACCCAAGGTTGGGGGCTATTGTATCTAAGCAATACCCAGTACCTTGATTTACACCCGAGAAATCGCGGGCGTGCAAAATAGGCGCCAGGTGCCCAGCAGGAGAGAGGCGGGGGGGGGGGGGGGGCGAGCCTCACTTTCCCGAAAAATAGAGGAGAAGGTACTATTCCTCCAAAAGAAAGAGACCCTTTGTTTTCCATTTCTTTTCCTAACACTCATCAGCTTCATCATCCTCCGGCCCCGGTTGCTCCCACCCCTGAGTAAATCTGTTGACATCTATGGACTTCCACCTGCGTGTCGCCGGTTCGGACGGCGTTGCCTCTCCCCTCCTTCCGAAACACGCCGAAGCAAGGCTGCTCCGTTGTTCCCTAAGGGCCCCGATCCCCTCCAGGCCCCCTTTTTCATTCATCATCTCCTCCCCGCCCACACCCGCTCGGGGCCCTCGCGAGCCTCATATCCGACCCACGTGACCAACCGCAGCCCCGCCCTTCTTTCCCCGCCAGTCGCTTCTCCAGGATCCCTGAGCGACACGTCACTGCTCGCGCCTCAACCAAGCTTCCCGCTTGCCTCAAGACAACCGTCCAAGTCCGGGGCGGGAGGGGGAAAGGCTTTTCCCGACCAATCGGAGGCGGAGGCGGCCAAGGGCTCGTGCGAGCCCTTCTTCTTTTCTGACAAATGCGGCTCTGGCCCAATCGCCTGTTCGAGGAGGCGGCCTCTTGAAAGCGAGGGACGTTCCTCTCTGCCAATCGTTGCCCGCGCAGTGAGGGCTGGGGAGGCGGGCGCACTCGCTGCCAGGGGTGGGTGCGCGTGGAGCGGATGGCTGAGGGAGCCGAGCGGAGAGCGACTCCCGGATCCCAGGTGAGGCAAACGGCATCGTCCGCCGTGAGAAGGGTGTGGGCGGTGGCGGCGGCCATTTCACAGGCGAGGGCCGTGACGTGAGGGGGGGACGGAGGCCTGGCTAGAGCTCCAGGGAAAGGCAGAGGATGGGGAAAGACCGAGTGGGGAGGGAAGGGGCTTGCACCTACTGTTGCCCCGAGGCTGGCCCGCAAAACACAAAACGGGCCAGCTAATACCCTGAGGCGGCAGGCCGGTGCGGCTTCGGAGTTCGCCCCCTCATAAAATGCGCGAGACTTTTTACAGGCAGGAAGGAAACCGGCGCGCCAGGGAGAAAATCCGCCTGCCGGCCTTTGTCCCTGATGTGCTAGCTTTCTGCTTGCAGGGAGCTGGAGGGAGGACTAGAATTGGGAGGAGTGTGTACGCTTAGGCGAGCGGAGTCTTCCTGCGAAGCACATGCACACGCACAAAAGCTATAGCAGGGAGGAAGGTTGGCCCATGAAGCCGTCTCCTTATTAACTGTTGTTTTCTGTATCTCTGGAGATTGCTTTTTAAAAAAAAGCGCTGGATAACGGTGGCTCTCTAGAGGTTTGGGTGCCTTCCCATCATTCCTCACCGTTGGCAATACTGGGTAGGGTTGGTAGGAGTTCAGTCCCACAGCAGCTGGAAAATCACAGCTTCTACTTTGGAATGGAAAAGCAGTATAAAGTGAAATGGAACATGGTGCCCTCGAAGCTGTCACCCCATTCTCCTTCATTGAGAGAACCGATTCCCTCCTCATCCTTTTTTCCCTAGAAGATTGTGCGCCTCCTCCTCCTCACGTCTTTCATCCCTGGAGAAAAGGTCTGAGAAATCCCTTCCACGGCAACTGCTTCATCACAGGCATTGTGGTGGATGAGACTTCTCTCAGCTTGGTACCTTCTAGATGCAATGATTGCAACTTTCATTGGAAGCATTTTTTTTATATACACAGAAGGCCCTGGGTACATTTTCCAGGATGTCCAGCTAAAAGGCTTTTGGATAATGGGCCTGGCAACTATCCACACCCACAGAGCTTAGAAGACTAATCTGTGCTCTTATTTAGTCTGAAGCAGCTTCAATGTATACAACCTAGTTTTCCTGCTTCAGCAGAGAAGCACCTTTCACTATGTTATAGAGCAGTTCTTCATGGCAGATATTCATGAAGCTAAACTCCTTTCACACATCAGAGGTTTTTCAGCCCAGAAACACATTGATCATGCCTGTGTGTGGATCAGCACATACGTTAATAATGCATATAGCTTTCTATGCAGTTTTTGTACTGTATATGTTTGGAAAGCTGCAGCGTATAGCATTCTGGCCTTTGCTTTGTGCAGCACCTTTAGAGCTTCCTGTGGAAAAACTTTAACAGCACAAATCACATTCCAGCATCTGCAAAATTGCATTGATAACTATAGCAAAATATAATCTGCACCACATCTAACAACAGCTTTGACTGGGCAGTATTGACATGGCTGTGACAAATATATTTAAACTGATAAAAAGAACTGTGGTGGTTCTGACAATAAGCTCATAAAGTAAGTAACTTTTAAGGTACGACTTGGTTGAGTGGAGTTTCCCTTAGTGCCATTCAGAATTGGGTGGCGAAACTCTCAATCCATCCATGTGTTGCTGTGTACTTTGCCTCATGTCAGCATGCCCTCAATGATTTCCCCATAGCTTAACATCTCGCATAGTATGACATGTAGCATAATGGGTTTTGTTTGTTTTATTCTGCTGCTGTGGAAAGTAGGCTTAATATAAGCCTAAGAAGGCATTTTGGAATGTGTCTTTTGATACCACCCCTTTCTAGGGTGGGCTAGAAACCAGAGTCTTGCAATTAACAATATGCCAGTTCATTCCACAGTTGTCAGAGAATGATAGTCATTTGTACTGTATCCTGTATGGCAGGCAGGCCTAGTCTAAGCTCTAAAGCAGTGGTTCTTAACCTTTTTGAAAGAAACGCCCCCTTGAGCCATTGAGGAAATTATCATCGCCCCCCTCCCCACGGTGATGATATCTTATTTATTTATTTATTTATTTATTTATTTATTTATTTATTTATTTATTTATTTATTTATTTAT